GATCCTGCCCCTCTACTCAGCCCTGGGGAGGCCTGGAGTACTGTATGCAGTTCTGGGCTTCCCAGTACAAGAGAGACATGGCACTCCTGGAGAGAGTGCAGTGGAGGGCTATGAAGATGATGAGGGGGCTGGAGCATCTCTCCTCTAAAGAAAGGCTGAGGAGAGCTGGGACTGTTCAGCCTGGAGAAGAGGAGATTGAGAGGGGATCTCATCAATGTGTACAAGTATCTGAAGGGAGGGTGTGAAGAGGATGGGGCCAGGCTCTTCTCAGTGGTGGCCAGCGACATGACAAGAGGCATCAGGCACAAGCTGAAGCACAGGAAGTTCCGTCGGAAGATGAGGAAAAACTTCTTTCCTGTGAGGGTGACAGAGCATTGGAACAGGTTGTCCAGAGAGGTAGTGGAGTCTCCTTTCTTGGAGATATTCTGAAGCTGTTTGGACGAGGTCTAGGGCAACGTGCTCTAGAGGACCCTGCTTGAGCAGGGAGGTTGGAGTGGATGATCTCCAGAGGTGCCTTCCAACCTCAACCTTTTTGTTATTCTGTGATTATTTCTGTAAAGAGAGGCCATATCATGTAACACAGAACATAATTACTGGAATTATGATTTTGTTATTGAGTCCCTGTCATAGGCAAAGTCAGCTGCAATTTGCTATATTTCATATTCATTAATTGTGATGCTCTGCATAACTGACCAGTCTGGCCGCCTTTGGGTTTGAATGCTACTGCTATGCTGATTAATAATTGTTAATGTCCAGGAAGAACCAATGCTCACACCTCTATATCCTAAAGTTGTAATTTGCAGCCCTCCAAATATTTGCATTTTCTGGTGAAGTCAGTAGATGATCCAGTAGATGCATGGAGAAGCTGCCTTTGAAAATATCTGGAATATCTTGTATATGTACCTGAACATCTTATGTATTACGCCTTTCTAATTTCTAATATTCTGCTTCTTGCTCTGTCATTACAACCGACTTTTCCAAATGAGGTAATTTTCTTTGTTATGACAGTAATTTTTAGAAAAACCTGTGAATCTGTGAGACCCCATCTAGAAAATGTAATGAAAAGGGATTGCATCTTGATCATGTTGGGTTTTTTTTTTATCATTATTTCCCTCTGTGAGTTTCTAATGTACATTCTAAAACTTACTAAGCTGCGGTTGATTTGTTTGAAAACAATAGAAACAAAATCTGCATGCCAAATACCATAAAAACAGAATTAAAATACAATTGGAATGTACAAGCAAATCAAGTTATCACATAACAAATTTTATTTAATGGCAATTTTATGATCTGTCATAAACTGGAGGGGACATTATGTTGTCACCATTCTGCATACCCATCTGTGCATTCTACAGTTAAACTTGGCTAGAGTATTCTTACATACAAACAGCTAATATCCCTACTGATTTTAAAAAAATCTGCCGTCCAGATAAAAGTAGACATTATATGGGAATCCTGAATGAAGTTGGACTCCTAGATTGAAAAAAACAGATTTCAGTGTACGTATTTAAAACTTGCTTTGTAGTATGTTAATTTGAAGAATATCACTTATATAAATCATCCCTAAATCTATGTATTTTGAATTAGTTTTTGAATTTAGTTTCCTCCTAAAGAAAAAGGTAACCATCATCCTGTACCTGTATTATCGTCTGATAGTCATTGTTTTCAATGTCTGCAAAATACTTGTGGACAAAAGTATTCTCCCATGCTGAGCAAACCTATACCAAAGAAATGGTATTTTATAAAATAAAAATTGGTCTAGGCCAACACAACATGCAGCACTATCATGTCATTGAACAAGAAGCAAAAAGGCATATTCAAAGTTAAAACTCCTTTCTGCCAACAAGATTATCTTCAGCCTTTATTAGGGAGCCAGCAGTGTCCTGAAGTCCCTCAAAAGAAATAAGCTGTTAGCTGAGAGGTTTTTTTATTGTTTTCGGGGAAGGATGGGCTTGTATTGCAGGATTTTGGTGGTGATGGGTTTTTTTTTTTCTTCTTAGTTCAACAAACACATCCCATGCTATTGAGACATTAGTCTGATGTAACTAACAGAGACATTAGTAACTGATGTAACAGTTACTTGTAAAGTGTGTGGGCTTCTGGGGACCAGCAGTGCATTAAATATTTGAAGGGAACACCACCTCAAGTGTGGAAAAGCCATAAAAGAGAAGAGGTTTTGCTCAGAATGGAAGAGAGAATGAACGGAGAAAAGCCAGCAGGAAGGAGGCTCGCTCTCCACTTGCAGATCTGCAGCTGCTGAATAGGTTCAGTGCTCTTGTAGTGATGAGGGGGTGCCATGTCTGGGGAGGCATCAGAGCCAGCCAAACCTGAACTGTGCATTGGAGCCAAGAGGAAGTAGCAAGTGAATACAGTGGAGACTACCTCCTCGGGGGATGGGGTCTCCTGTCTGGCAGCCTGTCTTGCTATTGTGGTATGCTGTTGCTTGACAGGGACTCAGATCTGGCATGTTCTGCCAGGGCTTGTTGGGCCCTTGGACTGTTACTCCCTGCTGTTCATCCACCAGTGATTCTGCCAAAGGAGACCTTTCCGCGGGGGAGGGGGGGGGGGGGTTCCAGACTGGTGAGCTCCTTGGTCCTGCTTGTGAAGAGGAAGAGCTTGTGAAGGAGCAGACTGATTCTGCAGGTCCACACCTGGATGCACAGCTGCTGCTAATGACAGGGGTTTGGCTTTGACAACCATGAGACCCTCTGAGAATCAGATTGCTGAGGAAGAGGCAGGATCTACCTGACAAAAGTGGCACAAAAGCATCTTTGCCAACAGGTTGCCCAACCTGGGGAGGAGAGCTTTAACCTAGGAGTCACGGAGGAGGGAGATAGTGACCCACAGTCAAGTGAGGAAGTGGTGGAGTGGGTTGGAAAGCAAAGGATGCCGGATGTTGCGAGAGACCTTGAGAACAATAAAAGAGGGTGGAAGGGGGCCCACCTGAAGCGTATATACAAATGCAGGCAGCCTGGAAATGAGAGGAACTAGAACTCTGCATGCAGTAACAAAATTATGGCATTGTTGGAATACCGGCAGCATGGTGGGTTAGCTCACACGACTGCAATGCTGCTGAAGCTCCTCAGAAAAGACAGGCAGTGAAAACAGTGGGGGGATGGCCCTCTTTGTGAGAGTAGTTCAGATGTTTGGAGCAGTTCTATAGGACGGATGACAGTCTGATTGAGAGCTTGGGGGTTAGGATCAGAGGCAAGGCCAGAAAGGGTGGCAGTGTGGAAGGGGTGCGCCAAACGTTCTGTCTGCATGGACAACCAGATGGGTAAAAAATGAGTTGGATAATGGAGCTCGGAGGATGGGTCATGCAGTGCCTGCATGCCTGTAAGAACAGATTACTTCAGGGGCCTGTCCTGCAACCTGCCCTGCTGAATGTCTTTTTCAGTGACCTGGAGCAGGCAGCAGAGCGCATTCTCATGAAGTTTGCAGGTCACATCAAACTAGGGGCACCAGTAGATAGACTTGAGGGCAGGGCTGCCATCCAGAGGGGGCTTAACAGGCTGGAAGTTTGAATTCAAAGGAACCTTAGGAAATTCAGCAAGGTCAAATGCAGTGTCCCGCACCTAGGAATAAAGAACCCCTAGCGATGATGCAGGCTGAGGACTGAGCAGCAGGGAGCAGCTCTGCACAAAAGCACCTGGGGGGCCTGTGGACAGCAAGCTGGATGTCAGCCAGCAGCATTCCCTGGCAGCAGATATGGTGAACAGTGTCCTGGGGTGCATTAACAGGAGCATAGCCAGTTAACAGAGCAAAGTAATTATCCTTCTTTACTGAGTAGAAGGTTGCACTTTATGACTTCTTATGTTCCTTTCCAATCTGAATTATCTTATGATCCTGTGATCTTTTGGAATAGGGATACATTAACTTTAAACATCTGAACAGCCATAAATGGGATAACAGGTGCTTCCCCACCTGGATTGAATGTAACTGGTTATTAACAGGTTAAGTATGGTGGAGAGCCTGGCAGGAGGGAAGCACTACTTTAGGATGGTGTTACGATTCGTGGGAGCAGATCGACCACACCAGTTAAAAGGCATGGTAAAAGGCTTTATTAAACACTGAACCGTAAATTGAAACAGGTTGGGTATCGGTAGAGGCTTTCTTACTCTAATAAATGGATTTACAACAATGTAGATAACAATGTAACTTTTGAATATCTATATTAACAATGTCTCATTTACATGTACTGACAGAAACTTTTCACCATGGACATGATACGCACACACCACATAGCTATTTTGACACCATGCTGGGATGACCAAGGGTATAGACAGATAGAAATAGTTGTAGGAAAGCAAGACAGACGCCCAGATAGGCCACATTGGGCAAACGTGTCTTCCTCCCCCTCTCTCCCCCTCTCCACCATGGGGCTGCGTAGGCTGCATGAGCAAGGTGTGCCATTCCTCGAGGAACTTACGAATTTGAAGTAGGCAGAGCTCTCGCCTGAGTGGCTGCTAGTCTGGCACCTTCGGCACCTGCGAATTACTAAAAATGCGGCTAATACTAGCATACAGCCTTCATTAAATGTGTTAAAGGGCACCAAATAGCAAGCAGAATTCACACCAGCAAAACTATTTAGAGACAAACATCAATGCGATGTTTTCAGGTCAGCTTAGCCTGGTAGAATTTTTCCTGGGATGTTTAGACAACTGGCTGATATAATCTTAAAGTGATTATCTTTAAAAACTTTCAGAGTATAGGTGAGACTTGCAGAATTCTTGAAACGAGCAAACAATATCTGCCTTTCCAAAGTGGAAGAGTCTGTAGACCAGTCAGCTCAACTTCAGTTCAAAGACTAGTACTGGAACAAGTAATCAAAGACTTCTAAGTATCTGGAACATAACAAAGCAAGAAGCAATCACTGGCATGAATTTGCTGAAGACAAATTATGTCAAATCAGCCAATTTCCTTCTGTGACAGAATAACAAGTATTGTGGCCATGGAGAAACCATGGTGTTAAGTTTTACCAGAAGTTTTCATACTCACTCATTCTCATTAGCAAAGTAGAGAAGTGTGGCTTGGATTAATCTGTGATGAGATGGGTGGAAAACTGGTAGAACATAAGTAAAGAGCAGTTCTTAATGGCTCCACTTTGATCTGGAAGGATATATTGATTAGGACTTAACATAAATCTGTCCTGAATCTCTTACTATTCAGTCTTTTCATTTAAATATAAGAATATTAAATTTTCAAGCTGCACCAAGATGCAGAAAACAACAAGCACATTGAAGAATGAATTAGAAATCAGAATGATGTTAACACGCATGAGAAGTGATTGAGGAAAAAATAGGTGGTTAGGTAAGGACAAATGCACAGCTCTGCATGTTTGACAAGATCGACATAGGAATACTGGATGGAAAATGACTGACTCTTTAGCATTTCTGTTAAGGGCAATCTGTTAAAAGGTTGTAGTAGATCAGAAACTGATCATGTCATGAGTCAGCAGCGTCGTGCCTTTGAAAGCAAACTTCATACTAGACTGTATAGCAGGGAACAGCTATTTGTACAACATGAAATATAACTCCTCTTTGTCCAGATAAAAGTTTCAGCTGTAGAGGATCACACCTGGAGATCTATTTTCAATGATGATCTCTTTTAGTAATTGCTTGCTTTGCCCCCCGCCCCCAAATTTGTGACCGTTAGCTATATATAACGTCTAGTAGGCAGGATGCGTTCAGGCATATGAGTGGGATGTTAACACTAGAGTTTAATAATGTCAAATATAAATAAATTACTCAACTTCGATCATTTTAGCATAAAAACAAAGATGTTTCTTTTAGTTAGTCCAAAGAGTGCAGGCCACTCTGGCTTTGTTGTATATTGCCTGTCTCTTGCACCTTCTTTTCTAATACCCTGAGTGGGGGAGACTGGTAGTAGGCTGCTTGATTCTTGCGAAAAAAAGAAAATGTTCTGTGAATAGTAAGGTCTGATTTATGGATCAGATGGCAGAGTAATGGCAGTGAGATCTATCCTGTACATGAGACAGACACCCCCATGTAGTCTGTTTGTGGAATGCCAGTATTACTTGAAACTAGCCACTTTTTTCTGTGCCAGAGGGAATACTGAACCTCAGATTGCCAAGAGTGTATTTTGTAGATCAATTAGCAGCTTTTTAGGTACCAAGTTCAATCAGCTTCTGCAGAGCATACTTGATGAGATAGTAGTGACAGATAAAGTTAAGGCTTCTCCCTGGCGGAACACACTGAAATGACATGCACTGGCATTGATATGACTCACAGGAACTGAGGATGGCATGCTGCATAACTAACCTGTCATATGCTGTGCTGTGAGCTTATGTGTCAACAGTCTGCAAACGATGTTGCAGCATTGGAAGCAAGTTAAAATATCAGGCGGCTACACAATACGACATTTACCACCTGTCCATTCTAACAGGAAAAGTGTCACTTTGTTTTATACCTGGAGCTTAATTTATCAAAACAAGTTCAATGCTAGGTACGTGGGTAGGTACGTAATGTTTGCTACTTCTTGTTGGGTTTATTCTGCTTGGTAGGAATAAGAATTTAAAAACTAAAATATAATGACAGCTCATTGTATTTCAAAGCTACGTAACTTTCTTCAACGTATGAACCTTTCCTACCCTTGTCCAAAATTCTCTCTTGTTTCTACCTTATTGAATGAATGCATGACTTTTTTTTAATTTTTGAAGGCCAAAATGTCATAACTGTAATGGCAGCAGGCATGCATGAGGTTTCTTAATTCATATGTCATGTTTTCCATACTTATTTGTATAACGTGTAATCAGTTTATGTAAAAAAAAATTAATTATCTGTCAATGATAAAGTTATACTAGCAATAATAAAGTAGCTATTTTAAAGCTAGTTTAGAATTGTTTTTGTTAAGTATTACATAGGAAATATGAAAACTATATTTAGCAGAGATGACATGCCTTTCATCAGGTTTTCTAACCTATTTTCAAATAAATACAATGCATTTCAGTACTACTTATATTATTGCTCATTGCTACTTAAAAACGTAGTAATTAGGATCCTATATCTTGTCTTACTACACCTTTTTGAAGCTTCTCACTGGAACTCTTTTTTTCTCCTATGATTCAAACAATAAAATTTGTCAAAAGACAAACTCTTCCCCCCCCCCCTTTTTTATTAAAAAAGCCCTAAAAGTTTCATTGTTTTAAATAAGAAAGTATTTTACAATCAGTTTATTAAACTGCTTCAAAATGAATGGTAACCTGACTTATAAAGATTTGACTTATCATAAAGCTGTAGCTCCAAGTCAGCTGTTATTTTTGATCAAACTAAGGCACTCAAATGCAATATGTGTCCCTTTCTCATGAAAAAGACGCCACAGTCAAGCTTTTATTGTGGCTCTGTCAGGTTTCTAGAGACGAATGTGTTCAAGTCAGATACATGCTCCTAAGATTTTATCTTTAGAGTTATTATTACTATATTGACTTCAATTACAGGAAACGTGAAGAAGAAAGTAAGCGAAAAGAAGCCAAGCTGCAGAAAGGAATGCAGAACTTGGAACAAAATAGGTTTCGAGTACAACAGAATCCTGGAAATCGAGAGAAGACCACCAATATCATGCAGTTACCTAATAAACAAGGTGATGTGCAGAGTAAGAGACCTATCTCCCGCAATGCTTCTCAAACCCAATCAGGGAGAAACAGTGGAGGTTCACCTAAGGCTTGTCACAGCAAAGGGACTCCAAAGGAGAGTTGCCTATCTGCAGAGCCTCAGAGTGAAGGTCATAAAATCAGGCAAGGTTTGTAATCATTTGATTGTCCCACCAATCTATTCAGTGAATGTCTGGGGATGTTTCATCTGTAGGACCTATTCTACTCTTTCCAACATTTATTGTTCTTTCATTATTTAAGCTGTTCATACAGGCTAAAGTTAGATATGGATTCTTTTATTATGTATATTCTGTCAATTTCAGTAGTCAAAAGTACCAGTACATGTAATGTCTGTAAAAACAGGACAGATTGTTGGGAGTTTTCTGTCTGTTAGATGCTCTGTTTGGAGAAGAGAAGCATGAAGATTTTTGACTATCTGGGGGATTTTTGAGTGTTAATGGAGAAATTATAACTCTTCTTTTTCAACAAAGAGGTTAAAATTGTGAAGAGGGATATATCTAGCATACAGAGGACCTGTTCAGGCAGCTTCATTCTCTATGACAGGGTCCTCCTGTGTTTTGTCTTTCGCTGTCTCTTGTTGAGAACCCTCCAGGATACTTTTTGAGAAATGGGACTGTTTGTAGAGATTGTACTATGAAACAGTGTATCTAAGCTCCTTCTGTTAGTTGTTTTTCTTGCCCTGCTCTGCCCTATTACTTTCTCCATCTATAAATGCATCATCAGTTTGTATCAGTTTGCTAATTACTCCGGTATTAGTTTTGTAACATATATGTTTAACTAACGTTTCAATCAGTTCCGCTATGAGCCAATTTATCGGAGCTTGTGGCTCAAATTGTTCAAAACTGGTCGTATTAAAACATCTTTGTTATCATTGGAAGTAAAAATTGGATAAAGAGTTTACTTAAGGGAAATTGGCAAGAACTGTTTCGAGGTATGTAAGATGTAAAATTAATGCTAATTCCCTTGGAAATTCTACTAATTGGAAAATTATGTTAATCCAAAAAAAAAAAAAGAAAGTCAAGGAGATATTTCTGCTGAATCATTTTGCCCTGATTTCTTCACCTTTTACATGAAAATGTCTTGTTAAACAGAATATTTGACTGTATTATCACAGTAAATGAAGACATACATCTTAGCCAAACCTATACTAGAGATGTTAAAAATACCAGCAGGCTTTATCCGCATATGTATTAATAACTTTATGTTAATTAAAATATATAGATGGCAAAGTAGAATAGTTAAACATTAAGAATAATCAGAAACAGTGGTGGCCAAATGAAGGATGAATAATTGTAGTGATTGCAATGAGAGGAAATTGGTAAGGGGAAAAGGGAAAGGAGAAAGAAAGACGTGGGGAGGATTAGAGTAATGAAAGGGAGAAGGAGGACAAAGAAATTATGAGGGAGGATTGAGCAGCCTTTTCTTTTGCTCGCTCCAGTACCCATTCTTTAGCCAAAATCTTCGATTGGTTATACTGGTAGAATCCTCTCTGCATCACACTCAGACTCCCACATTTCTCAGGACAAGCATAATGGTCTTGCACTGAGAAGACACCTAAAGATAAGGTAGGAGGTAGTTACATGGGAAACATGGGGCTACAGGGTCAAACTAATAACAGAAGTCAAGACTGAACTGGCCAAATTTTCTGCAGAGGACTCTAATTTTGATGCTTATGTTTGAGAACCACATTTCTGTTCAGTTGTCTACACTATCCTTCACTGTAGACACAGGAAATTCAAACCAGCAGTAAATGCCAGCAGGACATAGCTTGATCTGTAGAAGCCTTCAGGCTTCCCTGAAGTTGGAATTTTCCTGAAATAGCTATGCCAGAATGATTTTTTCATGTTGATGGTTTTAAAAGGGAAATTTTCCAAATCGTATATGTTATTGCCTAGAAATTTTCTCATTTTTAATTTCTCTTTAGAAGAAGAATGTAACTTCTGCAAAGGATAGAGTTTGAATTTTAAATGGATAATTCTAAACTATTGCTTAGAGTCTTTCTTCTCCATGAGTGTTGAGCATAAAGAGAGCAAAACTGTTGGCACAAGATTCTTCTGAAAATACATTATAACATGTCTTCTTCTAAAGTGAGAACAGTTTACTTCCTCTGTAAAAAAAGCTGCTGCTTGTCCAGTCCAAAATGCCAATGTTTGAAATAGAATGTTATGCCATTTTTACACAAGCATTCATTTTTTATCATTGGAATAGTGCCAGGGGAGTTGATGCAGGAAGGGTCAAATCATGAAGTCCTTTAATCAGTTCTCATTAGGTCTTTTAGTCAATCCTTGTTTGACCAAACTTCAGTGAACTTCACTGGAAGTTTTATTTGAATTAAATACAAGTTTAGATCCTGTGGGCAGGCTTGCTCTTTAGAAAAATTTTCAGCAATTGTACCTGGTAACAATGTATGAGAAGCGTATCATTTGGAGACTCTAGACTGATCTTCTGTTTTCTACTCATAAATCCTCTTTCCTATGTTTGTTATCTCATTTGCAGCTGCAGAGTTGCCTTAATTGCAGTAGCAACATGCAAGTTCTTTTTTGTGCCCTGTAGTTGTTACTGCTTCTTTTTTGTATTTATTTCAGCCTCAGAAGATGATGTAGAATACTTACAGGTTTTTATCCCCCCCCCCCATTCCCTCAGTTGTTCAGATTTGATATTTTGTAGCATATTACTTTTAACAGCCTAAATATTTTGTGGTTGAAGTAAACAAGCATTCAACAATTCATATTTACAAACCAGCTAGCAGTTTTTGTGGGTTAAGAATAACAGGCCCTTTTAGAAAGGCTGTGTTGTTTTTCCTCACAGCTATAAAAATCAACTTTTGGGGAGATCAAGATACTGTCCTGAGAGTACTAGAAAGTTCATACATTTGCACTGACTGTCAGTCCTATACTGCTTTTATTGATGGCATTGCTAATTTTGTGTTTGGCCTCATTCAGAGTGGGGTTCCCCTGGTCTAATGAGTGAGGGAAGGAATTTCCTTCTCCCTTCTGAGAGATGAAAATAAGAGGTTAAAATAGCGATATGTTTCTGTCCCAGAACAGATAGGGCTAGTTACCTACATGACAATCTTGTACAGAAACGGCAGCCTCTCAGTCCGTGATAAATCTTTGTCTGAGACATCACTGAGGATAATCAAGAATTTCTTCTGTATAAATCTGCCGTATTCAGTTATTCAGGAAAGAGAGTATCCTGTAAATGTAGCATAATGGGTTTTGCTGGCTTTGGATAATCCAGGTAACTTTCTGTGATTCCAATATGTCAGAGAACTTTTTTCTCTTCTTCTTCTTATCTACCCTTTGCATGTTACATTTGGTCCCTCTCTGTCCTATTTTCTCATTCTCCTGTTAGGTTCCTAACAAAATAGAGATTGTACATGGCAGGTGGAGATTTTCAAATTTGCGCTCCAGTGTGGCTTCCAAGTCACATTATCGTCGGAATGCTTAGAAGAAGTTATCACCTATGACTTACTGTCCCCCTGCGCCTGGAAACAGGAAAAAAAAAGTTGTAGCAAGGGAAAAACGTGAAGGACTTCATAGTTTGATTTAGGATGTCAAGGAAAGAACTGAGAAACCAAGTGCTCTGGGCTTCCTGGTATTACATGATCCCTCTGTAAAGAGGTCATTATGCACCAGGATGCAGTGTGGATAGAGCAGAAGTTTAGCAAATAAGCTTGAAGCAATGACAGCCTGTTACACTCTATCAGTGGAGCAAGCAGGCGTGCCAACTGTATCCTTTTGCCATGTGGTAAGCTAGTTTCTTTGGAGAAAATCAGTATATCAAAGTAGGTGAAGGCATAGTTTCGCCATGTTAACCTTTTTTTGATGTCTGACTCAAACTTAGTGTGGGAGAGAGAAGTATTTGTAGAATGGTAAGCAAATGAAGATGTTTGGGTCTGTGCTTAATACTCTTCTCATTCTTCCTGCTCATACATTTTTACATTTAAGTAAATCCTAGTGTGGGAACTAGAGAAATAGGGCCTGTTTTGCTGGATCAGTGACTAGATGTTTGCTTATGTTTCTCTAGCTAAAGAATTATTGAGAAAACACACCAAAAGTAAGTCAACTTGTGTCCATTTCCGTTGTGGCAAAGAAAATGAGGGAAGAAAAGGTGAACTGAAACATCAAATTGCCTCTGCTACAGAGCTGGATGGAGAAAAGCACAGTGACTACACCTTTGAGGCAAATGATATCTTTGCTCATGGGAACAGAAAGCATACTTCTGCTTCTACAATCACTAGTGTTGGGGAAAAATCAAGAGTACAAGGTCAGTCTTCATCTGGTAACAGGGACCATTGTGAAGGGATTGCTGTGTTCTTGTGCAATGCCAGTTGTACTGATGGAATTGCAAGAAATTTGAGGCAGTGTGAAACTGTTTCAAAAGGCAAAAGACATCATCAGAAATCAAGAAATAAAGAGGTAAATTATGAGAGATGTTCACCAGCTGGCTCTAGTAGACCAGGAAGTGCCAAAATGGTATTTGTAAACACCAGAGATGACAGTGTGCATGCTGCAGAACAAACTAACAATGTGGGAAATAATGAATTAGCAAAAAAGGCCTATCCTTTATTGTCTACTGCGGCAGAATCTACAAGAACTGTGCCAAGAAATCCATCGGCATGTTCTGTTTCTGATGACAGTTTGAACTTGGAAAAAACAGACGAAATTGGGTCCAGGAACACAGATGATCGATTATGTTCTTCTGTCACATGGCAAAGTATGAATATTGAACAAATCCCTTTAGAGATTCGAATGCGGGTAATAGAAAAAGAAAGAAAAAGAAAAGAGCTTTTTCGGAAGAAGAATTATGCTGCTACTGTTATACAGAGGACATGGAGAAGGTAAGACTACTGTTTCGCAGCTAGAGAAGAGAGAGATGCTATTAGATATAAATTGCATTAAATTGTTGGCAATGATGTCCTTCATTTGGTCCTTTTGCTTATAACATTGTTCAACATAAATCAGGAATTTAATAATCTTTCATCAAACAAGTGGAAGCGTGTACCAGTTGCCTAGAATTACGTTCGTAAGTTCATAAAAAGTGCAAGGTAAGTGATGACTTTTAATAATTGGAGAAGTTATTAAATTCTATTTCAAGCATTGATACTTCTTTACAGAAAGCAGATCAAGATATGGATGAGCCTAGATTTCACTGCTATCTTGTTTGTTTGCAGACCTACACACACGTAGGAATTTCCTCATGTTCAGATGGAACTTCCTGGGCTTCAGCTTGTGCCTGATGTCTCTTGTCATGTTGCTGGGCACCACTGAGAAGAGCCTGGCCCCATCCTCTTGACACCCTCCCTTCAGATACTTGTACACATTGATGAGATCGCCTCTCAGTCTTCTCTCCTCCAGGCTGAACAG